GAGTCCAAAGGATCTGAATTATCAAGTGGCCAGACCTATGGGTCACTTCTTAGACTGAGAGCTGGGCTTTCATGTTTACTTCCCAGTTTGGTGGACTTGGTGCAGATGAGAAGAGGAAGCTAGGAGGACAGCCTGCCCTTAGGGACGACATCCACTCTGGGAAGGTTTCCTATAGGAACTGGGGCGATGGAGGTGCTGCTAGCTGGGGATGAGGAGTGGGCAGGAGTTTGGGCTACGAGAGGGGTCGTGGGGAGAGGGGGTGAGAAGAGCTGACGAGGAGGCAGTAGACAGGTTTTGCTTTCTCAGCTGACCTCTCTAAACCCCATTTGTTCCAATGTTTATCATCCTCACTGTTAGGAAGTTCTGTTTATTTAACTGAAATCCCTTCTGTGGCAGTTTAAGCTCTTATTCTATTCTTTGTGTAGATAGAGAAGAGTTAACATCATACACATAATAACCTTTATATGCCCTAAGACATGAAGTCACCTATCAACCCTCATTTTTATAGGCTCAATAATCCAGCTTCCATGAGTCTTTCCTCAGAGGCCCTATTCTCGAATGCATTATTAATCAAGCCCACCAAGCCCTCCCTTTCAGAACAGTCCCGTCCCTCCTATTCCATATCCCAGTCCTTCCAACGTTCCCACCAGGATGTACTTATGTTAACTGAGTCTTGAACCCAAACCTCTAGCTCCTCCTCTTTACTTCCTCTGCTCCACCCAGCTCAATTCAAGCACTGCAGGCGGTCACAGGTGGCTCTTGCTTTCCTTCCTTCACTACTTTCTTACAATTTTGTGCAAGTCCCAGGCATGGAAGCCTTTTATCAGACTTCATCACAGCGTCTTCACTTGTGGTACTCTCTTAGTTTTAAATAGAGTGGTCCCAAGTCTCACTGAAATACCTCCCTACTGACTCCAACTCCCTGCTCCCCAGACTCTCAGGCAGAAGAATCCTATCTTGATTTATCAGGTCCCCCTTTAAGAAGAACTCTGCATGTTCAAAACCCCAATCCCCATGGCAACACTGCTCAAAAGGCCAGTTGTCTACATCTAAGCACATCTGCATTTGGAATGAAACAAGGGGTCATTGTGGGGCCCTCTTTCCAGGGAGGAAAGGAAGGGAGGTCCAGAGAGCCTCTCCCGGGGAGTCCCTGCAGCCTTAAGGGCCTAGAGGCAGGCGCTTTAGCATTTTCCCTGAACTTAGCAGCAAAGATTGGATCTGCCCAGTTTCTAGATCTAGCCAATTTCAAGATGCTGAATGGGAAAGCCATCTCCCTTCAGATTTGGGCAGCTTCCAAGGCAGGCTTATTCGGCGCCCAAGTTTCAATTCCAGCCAGTGTAGTGTAAAGAACATGGAATCTGTAGTCAGGAGATAAGGCTATTAGCCCCAGTTCTGCCATGGACACATTTTAGGCAAATACCTCCCTTTCCCTGAACCTTAGTTTCTCCATTGGTGAAATGAGGAGCTTGGCCTCAACAATTTCTCTGTTTCCTCCCAAGACTGAGCTTCCATAAGGAGGAATGACTTGCCTCTGGCAGTCAGAAAACTTCCCTAGCCTGCGTATAAGGCCTACTTCTTCCACATTGTTCTCTGGGCAGCGTAGACACAGAGGCTGGTGCATATCAGGCTGTGCGATGTCCCAGAATTCCCAGGCCTAACACTGGTTTTTGAGCAAGAGGGCATTCTGTGGGTAGTACAAACTTCAGTGTCAAGACTGAGTCTCCCGTGATTGTTAATGTAATTTTGGAAGAATTACAGCCAGAAACTCCAGTCAAAGACAATAATGGTGGCAGTGTAAATACAGAATGTTCACTTATGAAATTGTTAGAAGGCATTTGGGAAAAAGCTCTTGCTGCGATCTAGTTCTGCAGCTGGGCCTCTCAGCTCCTCTGCAAGCAGGTTTAAGCACGGGTACTCCTCATATGTGCGGAAAGTTGGCCCAGAGAGGAGCATGACCGCTGGACCAGGTAGATGACTTGAGAAGATCAAATTCTTTCTCCAATTTCCTTACTTTAACAGAGCGCTTAGTGACACAAAAGCCCAGAGACTTTGTACTTGGAAAGTTACCCTTTGTAGTCTTAGATAAAAGAATGTATACATTCTTTTCAAAGCTGACCTTCATGAAAGGGTATTTTGCTAACCTTTTAGCGAAGTCTAAATTTTTGAAAGAACAACTAAAACTGAGTGTGGGGGGAGAGAGAGACAGAGAGAGAGGAGGTGCGGGTGGGAGGGGGAGATTCCATTAAAGAATGGAAATTAAATGAACAACTCAATTCACCTCTTCAGGCATGTGCCTGTTCACGATGTCCAAGGCAATCTGTATTAGATGGCTTCTAAATCACTTTCAGCCAAAGGAAATGTATAGGCTGATGTGCATTCTCCCCTCGATAATGACCTGTATACAGGGTAGCAGTGCCGGGCAGCGATCCGAGTCCTTCCCAGAGGCACTGAAATCTGAGTTTTAATTCCAGAGTTTCTAGCCTAGACAACTGCCTTCTGTTGCCACTGGCGAGTGTGTTCTCTCAGTGGTCACCAATCAGGGCCTTCTGCCACACACATGCCCCATCCTCTGGTAAATCACTAGCCTACTGGATGTTCCCCAAGCATGCCATGTCCTTTCATACTTTTGAGAGATCTGAGTACGCTATTCCCTTTGCTGGAATACCCTTCCCCCTCTTTTCCCCTCATCCTTCGAAGTCCAGCTCGAATACTTTTTCTGTGAGCTGGGGTCCCTCGCCCCCCGCCCCCAAGGAGAACTACTTGTTCCTTCTCTGTGTGCTCCCACAGGGCGTTGTTCATGCTTCTATGACAGTCATTTTTACACTGTGCTGTAATTACTTGTATGTACTTCAATGACCCTGACTACACTGGGAGATTTTTGAGGGAAAGAACCCTTTTTCTTCATGTCTGTATCTCTACTCCTAACAAATATAAGATGCTTATTCACTGTCTAGTGAACAACTGAGTGGGGGGAAAAAAGCCAAGACAAAATTTGGAGCTGTAATTAAAAAGTGCTCTCAAGTCTACTTATTAAAAAGGGAAGTCATCCGGGGCTTGTGTTAGGAGCAGAGGGTATCGTTGTCCAAGCCAGGTGAGCATTCTAGCTTTGTTATAATTTCTGCCTTAAAGGGATGTGACAAGAGTTACAAACTACATGGTTCAAAGTCAAATTGACTTTCATAAAAGACAGAATATCTTGGTGAATATTCAGGAGAAAGGTTTCCTTGCTGACTCCAGCTCAGGTCTGCATGAGGCTCGGCCACTCCTAAGCTTCTTCACCACAGGGACGCAGCATTCCATGGGGTACATGGCATATCAAGCCACCAGAGTCCCCTCGTGTTCAGACAAGTGGCCGGCAGCAGCTGAAGTCAGTCTTTTTGGCCTGGTTTGGGGCTGATAATCTGTTCTATAAAGCTCCAGGAATCTTAATAGATAGAACTTCATTTAAAGCATTTTAGTGAAAATCATGAATTTCACTCTATTTTTCCTCCCAGGTCAGAACACAGAAACGAATAGGTACTTAGCTGGTTTAGTAGTTGGCTCTGTAGTCCTAAGGAGTGGCCCATGTTGCCTGGTCCTGTCTTTGGAAAACTGTGCTGTCTTTGGATTATCCACAAGTAAGCACTTGTGCAAGCTCTTGGGCCAGTCCCGTGGCCAGACTTACTGTCCCAACAAAGGCACAATGGATCCACTCAACTACAGCTTCTTTGAAAAGACTAAAAGATCAGGGTATTACTCTAGCCTAGTTTTTCTATTACAGAGAATGTGATATTGAAACCCCAAAGCAAGAAATACCTTCCCCGACTAGCTGAGAAATAGAATAGGGATAGCTTTTAGGCCAAGAAGTAGGGTACTGACATCTCTCAGGATGCAGTATCCCTAATCCCTACAAGCTGTCTCCCAGCTTCATTTATACCCGATCACTGATTTGATAGAGGAGGGAAAACAGGAGAAAGGAGAGGGGAAGGAGAAAAAGCAACAAAGAACAAAGGAAAGATATGTAAATTGAATTGTATGGAAGAGGGAGCCAGAAAGAAAAACAAAACCAACTTTCATATGTTGCCATAGAAGCAATTCTGTCGCTCATGGATCATCATTGAGAAACGATTTCTATTTCTTGTTCCCTGGAATCTACAATACTCAGGAAGATCTCATGCGATTGAATAAAATAATAGACAACCATCACCGAAAGACTATAATATAAAAATCCAACTCCCTGGATTTTTTTTTCTAATTTTAGAAAAGACATGACATGACAGCAATTTGATAAAATCAGGAGCTTAACTTACCCTTTTTCTTGTTTTTAACTGGACCTGTTACAAAAAAAAGAAAAATTAAATCAGTGGAAATGAACAGAAAGTTCAAGACAGTCCCAGGATGGACCCCAAGACACTGCAAATTTGAGGGAACACCACACCACAGATCAGGTAATTGGCAAGCTATCTCCCAACTAACAAACTTTCCCAGTCTGTTTCTGACTGTTTTCTGACCGCTGTAACAAGGAAGTTATAAGGAAGATTCTTTACGAGGGAGAAAAAAATCTTTCAGGCTTAGTCTTTGGGGTGAGGGAATGGGTGCTACTCCATAGAGCTGAAATGCCCAGAAACACAGGTGTCAACCTTAGGACGGCATTCCTCTCATTCTGTGAGTCCTGACAATGCAGGGTCATGCGTTCAGGTGAGGAACTGTTATGAAGCTGGAAGGAAAAAAGGGTCATTTTCATGGAAGAAGCAGAGCAGTGACAATTTACTTTTCAGTCACTTCCTTATCATGATTGAAATTGTTAGCTATTCAAGCAGTGCAACCACACTACTCTTATATTCATGTGGGGGCCACATGCACTCTCACTGTAATTCACCATAAGTTAATGGATGCTTTAAAAGAAGTGTCAACAGTTTTATCGGCAATGAAATCACAAGCATTTTCTCGGAAATTACTTCCAAAGGAAACAATTCTAATCAATTGAGGGCACTCAGAAAATCCTGGGCTTTTCTCATATAGTTGGGTGACAACCACTACCCAGACATACACAGCTCATGTGTTTCCATCCTGGGGACTCAATTCTCTTCATTCTTTAGGTGTATTTGATTTTATTTAGATGCAGGTATTTAAAATCTGTTCCACACTCCCACGAGGACACTATTGGACAACATTAAACCACTGAGCTTACAAAAAGAACACCAAGCGTTTCTATATTGTTTTACAGTTTATGAAACCTATTTCCATCTATCATCTCATTTTATCCTTGCAACAAGCCTGGAATGATCTTTACCTATAAGAGCAGGCCCTCTCAGAGGTTCTATCTGAGTGGGTGCGATTAGAAGTCAGTAGTCTCTAACCTAGAGAGCTGCCAAGTGTGGCCATCAGAACTTACACTGGTCCCTTGAAAACAGTCATTTCCTGTGCAACAGAAGGATAATAGTAACAAAGGGGATGTTTTCGGTTGGCTTTAGCAACCTGCTGCACTTAAGGTCACGAATCTCCACTCTTTCATCCTCATTTTTCTCCTTTTCTCTCCCCAAAGTCCTCTGGATTCTTTCTTTGTTGCCCATCCTTTACGTTTTTAAAAGCACTGAGAATTCTGGAGGCTGTGCATGGAGGTTCTGGCAAGGAAGCACAGCTACACAGATGCTACTAAGAGGCAGCAACTAAACTAGGGAAGGACCGCCTCCTTGAACAGGAAAGCCATTTGGGAGAGGATTAACACAGAAGGCCCAGCCCATCAGCCAGTTACCAGCCAGCCAGTCAGGCAGCTCAGTTTGGGAAAGCATGGGTGACAGCCATTGCAGCCACCATGCCCTCCCAGACAAGTTGTGCCAAGCTTCTGACCATTTCAGCTGGTGAAAGGCTTAGCACTGTCACATGAGATTTCAAAGTAGGCTTTGAGGACATCAGACCATCAGCAAGTACCCGGTCCTTAACCAGGCAGGCCTATGCAAGGTCGCACAGTGAATAAGGAAACAACTCCATCGTCAAAGAACTCCCAGTTGGACAGGAATATACTAAAGAGGGGAGACAAGGAATTAGACTGGCTAGCTGAGGAAAAAAATGTCCTGCAGGAAGTTTGGCCTAAATCTACACGTGAAAAGAGAGAAAGGGAAGTTTAAAAATCTTTAACTTCTGTTATCTTTCTACCAGAAATACCTACTCATTATGCGCACGTAAATGTGTGCATACATAGATACATACAAAAGGGGAGTAAAAAGGAAAAAAAAAAGCTTATTAAACTACCCATGAATGACTACTATTAACATTTTTATGCACATCTAGAAATGTTCTACACATATAAATATGTATTTTTACAAAATGCACTGTTTTAATAACTAGCAACTTCAATCACAATCAAATAAAAATGTCTGATAACTTTTTAATGCCAATGACTGCACTGCTACATTATTGTTTGTTAGTATGGACACACCAGCATTACACAGGTAACTATATTCTTCTGGTTCTTTTACGGTTTCATTTTTTATATTTAAATCTTTAATTAATCTGCTATAGTATATCGTGTGAGGTAAGCTGCTAACTACAAATTTTATTTTTATTTTCCAAAATGACCATGACATGCAGGGTGCTGGGCTCAAAGCGAGTCCTTTCTTCCACTTCATCTTGTGCCACCAAAGGGCTCTCAGGGAGCTTCTACTCAGTGGACAATGCATTATCCCTTGGGACAAAAATAAGGATGAAAAAGTATGTAAACGATCGTGATTAGACTGTATCACATTTCCCACAAGTGCTAGTGAGTATACACCATCTCCGCAGTAGAGGGCTTCCTTTTGTTCTAATATAGCTCAACATGGCCAGTGAATAATTCTGATGTGTTTGAACATGAGCCTCTAAGTCCTGGCCCTGTAACTGCCATACCCATTTCTTTTACTTGAGGCATTGTACTTTTCCGGCTTCTAGAGAGAAAATGCCAGGGAACTAGAACTATCCCATAGTATACAGGAGCACCTCGAACCAGAGCAAAAGCAGCATCCTCTGCTGAGTTCTATAACCTTTTAGAGTTATTGACTTATTTTCTCTATATGATTCAGAACCTTTCTCATACCTACTCAGAGCACTACCACTGTCACATGGTCTGTTTCTATGGTAACAGGCTACATTGCTATGTCATTCCAATTCCTTCTGTTTGTAACCATCATGCTTTCTGTAGGCCAAAACCACAAATGCATCAGAGTGGGACAGACAGCTGTGCACTCTCCGGGGCTGCTTTGAAAGGAGGAAAATTGAGATCTGACAGGTTGGATCAATGTGGGCAGGCGGTTTTCTATACGACAGTAACAAAAGGGAGTCATGTAACAGCATCAGGGCCATGGAGGCCAGCAGCATTCCTAGCCAGATTCTTGTGCTGATTCAACCACAAACTGACTGTAGGGAAAGTGATCCTCTTCTTCTGATTTTTCCTCTTCTAAATTAGGGAACACTTTGTATATGCTGTCTCTCTTCAAGGCCTAGGGTTCTGATGAAGATAGATGAAACAATAACTAAAGCTAATGTTGAGTGAATAGATATGAGCCCTGCACTTTGCTAGCTGCTTTACATATCTCATTTACATCTTAGAACAGTCCAGCAAAGTAGGGATTGTTATGCTTATTTTATAGATCATGAGCTGGAGTAAATAAATTGCACTAGGCCACACATCCCATAGGTATTTTAAGGTAAGTGAAACCTCAGAAAGATGCATGTTATTCTAGATGTGTTTTGAAAATTTAAAACTAAATGTATATACTTCCAGTTTGTGGTTTGACATGTGAAGAACTTGGAAGTTGTCCCTCCCATACTCACAACAAGAAAAAAGCTGAATAAACTTACAATCAACTCAGTTTCATCAGATGATTGAATTTACAAGGCAAACCACTGGTCTGAATGATGAAGAGACAGACAGGTAGATACAGAGAATCCCAGGTTACTGGGAGTAGAAGTCTGCAGCTAAAGCAAGTATCAGTAAGAACACTTTAAAAATGTAATGGGAAGATTGCTATAGGCTCAGTGTAGACTAGTTTAAGAGCTAAAAACCCAAATGGGGTCCAGTCTTCCAGCAGCCCCCACATTTTCACTAGTTTTTCCTTTAAGAGCCCTACCAGGTTCTTACTATGAAGGCTGGAGAAAAATTCCCTTGTGTTTCCGGCAAGGGGAGAGGAACAATAGCTATTTTTTAAAATATTTTATTGGGGAATTGGGGGAGGGGAACAGACAAGTTAACAATAGCTATTTTGAAATATACCCAGACCTCTCTATTCTCTTTAACAGGGGCTACCCTCAAAGAAAACTATTTTTTCAGAGCCTGACTTGGGTTTTCCCAGAGCATAACTGACCTGGTGGACAGGAAACACTCAACTCAGGCACAGTAAGACTGAGACCTAATCACAGGATGACAGAATACTTCCTCTTCCCTCACACCTCACCAGCGCTTCAGCAGTGCTCCTGTGTAAATAACAGGGGATGACAGCCAAGGAAACTGCAAGGCTCAGACCCGACTTAAGGAGTTTCTAGGGACACCCAAAAACAATAAGAGGATACTAAAACGAGAACAATAAGAAGACATTTTAGCATCTGACACCACAGCTACAGCAAACAGTAAAGAGAAAGTCCTAGTAAGATAAACGTAAAGCCTTATACTATAGGCCTATGTATCTCAGATCCTTTTACCCAGTATATCATGTCGGATTTTCAGCCAAAAAGTCTAAGGCATGCTAAAAGGCAAAAAATATAGGCTGAAGAGGCAAACCAAGCAGTAGAACCAGACTCATATGGTAGAGATTCTGCAGATCACACCTGGAAATTAAAATAACTATACTTAATATGCTAAGGGTGCTAAGGGAAAAATTGGACAACATGCTAGAATAGATGGGTAATGTAAGCAGAGAGATAAAAACTTTAAGAAAGAATCAAAAGCAAATGCTAACCCATATAAACATAGTCAATTGATCTTTGACAAGGGGCAAAGGATACAATGGGACAAAGATAGTCTTTTCAACAAATGGTGATGGAACAACTGGATATCCAAGTAAAAAAAATGAGTCTAGACCATATCTTACACTATCCACAAAATTAATGCAAAAGGGATCACAGACCTAAATGTAAAATACAAAACTATAGAACTCCTAGAAGATAACAAGAAAAAACATAGATGACCTCTGGTATGACAATGACTTTAGATCCATGAAAGAAATAATTTATGAGCTGGACTTCATTAAAATTATAAACTTCTCCTTTTCAAAAGACAATATCAAGAGAATAAGACAAGCCATGGATTGGGAGAAAATATTTGCAGAAGGCACATCTGATAAAGGACTGCTATCCAAAACAT